CCTACAAAAAAAGAAACATATATAATCGCCGACACTTTTATGCTTACTCCCTTCAGCTTATCGATGTGTTCTCGCACAAGACGAATCTCAATCTGGTCCTTGAATACTTGGACGCAGATCTTGAGATGGTCATTAAGAATAAGACAGTTGTATTCAGCGCCGCCGATGTGAAGAGCTGGATGTTGATGACACTTCGCGGACTGTATCACTGTCATCGCAACTTTATACTCCATAGGGTCCGTGTGCTCTCAAATATTCATTGACACTTGGGGCTGACAAGATCCAACGATTTGCAGGATTTGAAGCCGAATAACCTTCTCCTTGCAAGCGATGGGCAGCTCAAGCTTGCCGATTTTGGTATGGCAAGAGACTATGGAGATCCTCACAAAAAGATGACCTCGGTCGTGGTAACGAGGTATGAGGTCCATTGTTTTTCGAACGTCCTTTCTCGGGTGTTAAAAGTCATTCTCGGTTTGAGATGGTATCGAGCACCAGAGCTTCTACTAGGCGCCACGCGTTATGGTTATGCCATAGACATGTGGGCCGTAGGATGCATATTTGCGGAGTTGATGCTGCGTACACCATTCATGGCGGGAGATTCAGATATTGGCCAACTACAGATCATATTTAAAGCTCTTGGTACACCAACCGAGCAAGACTGGCCTGTAGGTTCTTCTCTCCGCAGCCCTGCGTGTGGAAAGTCAGATTGATGAGGCGCAATTCTCCAGGGCATGAAGGAGCTGGACGGATATTTTGAATTTCAGCAGTACCCCAAACCACCGCTCCGTTCCATATTAACAGCCGCATCGCCGGACGCTCTAAATTTGCTGGAGCAATTCCTTTTGTTTGATCCCCTGAAGCGAATAACTGCCGAAGATGTATGTTACTACGGGTGCATTCGGCCAGGAATCATATTGACACTCATTTCCGTCCAGGCTTTGAAACACTTTTACTTCCGCAACCTGCCGCGACCAACACCGCCTCACAAGCTCCCGCGAGATGTAGGTGGGGTGGGTGCTAAGCGTAAAGAAGGGAAGGGAGAGCAGCAACCACAGGAAAATGGTGCGCAGCAGCGAGGGGTGAAACGAAAAGGGGAGTTTGAAGGTAGATAGACATGTGATGGAATTCATCAGAGGTCTGCCATCATTGATCGTACTGGTGGGTTAAGCAGGTGACGAAGACGAACGGGGGGCGAAGATTGCTCGACGGCTTTTTGATTGATACCTTTTTTATTAATAGTCAAATCTGTACAATCTGCTGGCTATCGCGTGTTTGACGTTGGAACACATGTGGATAACAGAGGAAGGCAATGCTAAAGTTTATGGCTGCATTCCCTACAACATCCACAAAGAGCGAGAGAGCGGAGAGTAACCAAGGATAAGACTTGAGATGTGTCATTCATCTACGCCTGAGACTCCGTACATTGTCCTCCTCGCCGCACAGTTGACTTGCTAAATCCATTTACATTGCCATTACATCTATATATACTATCCGCGCTACGTTATTTACACTACACAGCACGTATTTTCCCTCGCTGACGTCTCATTTTCTCTTTGCGTCTCGAAGCTAGTTTGTGCTTGCTCTTAAACTCATGGGTCAAATCCTGTCGGAATTGCTCCCACTGGGACTTGATTTCTTCCCTATTTGTGACCAACATGAGTAACAATGATGCGTTCTTCGATGTAAAATCATGCAACATACACAGTCTCTGTTCGCATAAACGATTTATCTGGAGCGTACTTTGACCGATGTGATAATCCTTCATCCCCTAAATGGAAGAAGAACATGGTTGATGTACCGAAACTTTTGCTGACTTCGGCTTCGTCGTACGGCTGTATGAAATAGTTAGATGACATTGGAGATGATTTTTGAAGGTAATCACCAGCCCACCTCTTCCGCTTGCTCATATGGAACCGATTCCGGTCCTGCATCTGCAAATTTAAAAAGGGGTACTGATGCCGATGGAGTAGCCACCTGCTCTTCAGTCTCGGTCGGATCGTCAGCGGTTCTCCCTCCGAACAATGAAAAGGTGCCTGCACCTGTATACAAATAGACATGTTAGTTTCTGCGTAATCGCTACATCAGACTTCACTCACCGTCGGTGCCAAAGACAAGTGCGCGAAGATTGGTGTTCACGGCGTAATGACGCTCCGCCGGTGGACCTGACGCTCCCTTTTCTGGTATAGAATCTGCGTACTTGATGGATGAGAAACACTAAATACTGTATCAGAAACAACAGCCAGGTGCATACCTTGTGCATTCTGTGGGTGCTCTGGCGCAGCGTCTGGTATGCTGATATTTTCACCTGCGGTTTTGACCACTTGACTGGAGGAACTCGAATTTTCGGTCACGTCACTTTCGCCTGATTCGCTGTCGTCGGAACTTCCTTCGTCATCCGAATCATCATCCCCTTGCATCTTTTCCGATTCTTCGTCTTCCACATCCTCCTGACTTGATGCCTCAGAGAGATCTTCAGATTCCGTCTCCTCGCTATCACTAGCATCCGTCTCGTTGTCTGAGGAGATAGTATCCCGCGGAGCCCCTTGTCCATCCTTCCCACTCATGTCAGAACCTTTTTCAGATATCGGAGATCCCCGCTGGCTTTCCTCGTCGTCCACATCCATAGTAAAATCCACCGTAGCCATTGTATTGTCTTGCTGAGCCGAAGAATCATTGCCAATGATGAATTTCGCCAGACCCAACAGTTTTGATCGTTCCTTTGCCAGGTTATTTCCTACATCTGGGTCCCCAGCCGCTGCAGCTTCCACAGGTGGAAGGGGCGCGGTAGGTATTATATCATCGTCTTCATCATCATCTGACAAGCCAGCAGGAAGAGGGGCTGGTATATGGGTTGATGTGACGGTCTCAAATGCATCATCTTCTGCCGCTGTATCTACAGGATCTATTCCATCCACCTCCATCGTTGCTAGTCTATTAAAGTCTATGCTTTCATCATCAGAATCTTGCTTATCGGAGCCGTCCTCGTCGTCCGTAGAGTCAAATAGGCCTCCGCGTGTGGGTAGGGCAAAATCATCCTCATCTGCAGAGTCCTCCTTTGACTCTTCCGAGAGTGCAGTTTGTTTATCGTCGATCCAGTTTACCGCAGGCACGCTGATGTTGTCAACAGTCGTGGACGATGTTCCAATTGATGCACGACGAGGTGGGGCAACAATGTCATCGCTGGGCCACGTCAGACGCGCCACCGGAGTAAATTTCGCATAGCTTTCCGGTCTCTTCAGGTTATCTTTATATCTGAGCGGATCAACAGTGACAATCTGCAAGGTGTTGAATGAAAACGATGTCGCACTAATGCAACGGTGCTGGGAACCATCTATCCTAACGTACCTTGCCAGTCAATTTGTCCCTATAGTGGAAAACGGCCACAGCCCGATTGAAACGCGAATTCTTCCATCCCTAGGTCGGATATCATGGACGTGAGGAGGATGGGCTGCAGGTTACTTTATGTGCTGTGCCCACCTTCCGGTTTTTTGCGTTTCGATCTGTAACCAAATTCATGTCCAATGCTACTTCCACTGCCTTCCGCTTACGTTTCTTATTGCTGATCTGCACTTCACCCTTCGCCCTTGCTTCATCCTGCACCTTCTTTTCTGCCCACTCTCGCTTCAACCTGCCAACCCATGTGAGAAAAAGTACGCTGAAAATCACATCTTGTCATGCTGCCATTAGCGAACCTTGTCATATAATCTTGCTTGGCCTCCTCTATATGCAACTGCATGCCCTTCCACTTCGTACCATTGTAGAGCGTAAGACCTAGGGGACAGAAGAGCAGTGAGCACCGAGTTGGCGTTCCAATGACATGCAGGTGTCATTTACATCTAGCTAGTGCCGATGGCGTCGTTTCCAATCCAATGAATCCGAACCCTCGTGAGCCCCCCAACGGTCCTCCACCAGGCAAGTCAACCGACAGCACATTGCCAAAACTCTTGAAACGGGCTTCCAAATCTGCTTTGTCCACGTCGTATTTAAGCCCACCGACATATAGTCGTTTGATAACTGGCGCTGACTTGTCGACTGTGGGGTTCAAGTCGGCTGCGGTCGTCATGGACAAGGTTAAAGAAGGTTGGAATTTTGGTGCACCTTTGTCCTTGGTAGATCCAGTACAAAAGATGCAAAGATTATGTAATGCTCATTGGAATGTGGATAAATACGGATAATGATTGCGTCAGCGGGCCGGAATTCGCGACAGTGAAGAGCAAGGCACAAGGGCATCAGGTAGCTACAAGTAGATGGATAAACAAGTTCATCTCTTGCTCTGTTTGAGAATAAGCCAGAAGGATCAATGGGGAATGCAAGCCGGAAGATACGAATGCAACCGCGGGGGAAAGGGAAGGTGTTCAGGGCAGGTAACGCGAGGGGGTAGGCGCATGAGTAGCGAGTACTTTTCTCGCTAGGCATGTGTGCAAATGCAAAATAGTGACGACAGCGAACATGTGCGAGCACGCCCGCCAAAACGCAGAAATCGAAACATAACATGGACGAATCATCGCCACTCAAGCAGCAAGTGATCAGGGCTTGTTAGGGAAACCATTTGTATTAGGGAGAATGCTGATGCTTTTGAAGCAGAGATGTTTGTCAAGAAAGCATTGTTAATATCCTAAAACATGATTCTGCATTGTTTATGCTCGCGTTTCGGGGATGCACACATTTGGCGCTTTCCATTTCAGATATCTGCGATGGTAATCTGAATAAGGACGTTCAAACAGCGCTTAGACAAACAAAAGACAATGCCTTTGCTACCCTTCGCCTGGCTGCAACAGAAAAGAAGAAGCAGGCAAGAATGCACCATGTGAACTTATCTTATCAAAAGCTATGACAACATTCATCAAACTCGACAAGAATGCTCTTCCATGGACAGGTTTTCATTATTGATTCACGATAAGAAGAGTGGCATAAACATAGCACGAATAATGTGCCGTCTCCAAAGGGAGACCGACATCGACATGCTGGACATTAGCAAAAGTTGGCTTCCCCAGGAAATCCAGGCGCTGGCTTGCTATATCTCGTGGTTATCTCATTGACTGCCCTCCCAAAGCAAAATGACGCAAGTGTGGACTTCTACCCTCGAGGACAGTTTCAAGGCTGTCCACTCTGCAGCAACAAAAAGAAGGAGGGCAACAGGAACGAAGGAAGGGGGGACATGCGAGCAACACAAACGCTCTGCCCCCCCGCCTGTTGTTCAACCCCCCCGGCTGACACGAACGCGTTGGAAGGATTGTTTTGGTGCAGGGAACGCGACTGGGGGGGACAGGACCAAAAAACCCTTTGGCGAGTAGGGTATTGGGTGGACACTCTCCTCCTCGTCATGTGCGTGAAACAAGAACGAACCTTTCTTTACAATGTCGTATTCATGTGGCAGCTGTCAAATAAAGATATCTCCGATATGTTGGGATTGCACAGGCACGCGGACACACAACAAGCCTCCAAACGACAAGGGTACTCGAGGGCAGCTGATGCTCGTCGTTCCGCGTTTTTTGCTGATAAGGCCTATGCGCTCATTGGAATTGCATGGAAACATGTAAACAGATATAAAAGCATGGATTTTCTGGCATCATCTCTTCCAGTAATTATTTGTTTTTGTTCTCAAATATTTTAAGCTTGGCGCATTTTCGTACAAATCTCTCAAGGTTGTAATTTACAACACTTGCTACTACCACATTATTGAAATCAAACATGCCCGGCCCTGCTGCCCCTTTCCTCGTTGCAGCTGGATGTGCCACGGCTGGAGCAGCCGCAGCCATGTATCTCACTCGTCACCCTCAAGACGCTCAACATCCCGGAGGGGCGGTCACTTCTGTCGGCGCCGGAATTCTTCCTGTTCAGTCTTCCGCAAGCCCCGGTTTGCAAACACGTCCTGTGAGCTACAAGCGAAACAGTGACTCGTCATACGGCGAAGAACAGAGGTGGGCACTAAAGACTTGACATTTTGGATTTCCCTAACACTAAAGAGGGGGGGAGATAGCATCCTGGTGCAAGAAAGGATGGAGTATTTCTTGGACGCTTGCGGGAAGTAGGACATCACGACCGGATACGTGATCGGTGCCCAAGGTACCAGCCATAGTAAAAGGCATGTCTGCCTAACAGGAGACATCAACGGTCATGAGGGGTGTCATCGGAGGGGCAATGATCTCCTTGCCGTTTTGCCATGTTTACCCAGAGTCCTCACAAACTCCATTCTACATTTGTTAATATGGGGTCTTGACTGTGTAAAGACAAGTGGCAGAGATGGCAGTTTTACTCGCATTTTCGTAACTGGAAAATGCAAAAGCACAGGCTGATCGTGGGTTGCGGTGAGTCTCTCCCCTTCAACTAAAAAAGTGCCCGCGGATGTAATCCCCCTCTCCATAAGAACGTTTGTGACGAAAGCATTAACCTCTTCCATCTCTTCGTTCATTTGTATCTTGACAGTCCCAGCACCTCCAGTTCGGATGAACACGAACTCGATACCATGAATACTCGCGGTCGCGAAGAGGGATGGTCTTTCAGGTTAAATCCTGAGGATATGATCTTTGGCTGCATTTGAAGACCGACTTGCTCGTGCAAGCTATTATTGTTCATTTGTTGATTTGAGATTGCGCACCATGTACTATACACTTTCGATGATATGTATTGTTTGCAAACAGAGATTTGCGATTTTGTCCTGATCCGTTGCTGCTGTTAGCCATTCTTAAAATTATTGTCGCAGATAACCCCAACGCCGGACGTCCAAGGGCTTCTACTTTGCGTTAACATTCTATCGCTTGCACACATCATTCCAGATCAAGCTACCGCGGGAGTAATCAGCCAGTTTCGTAGAACATCAGGGGGGGATCAGACAGCCTTCCCTGCTGTGCTGTGGTAGTTCATACAACAAAATTGGTCACCTCGTTCAGGCCCGTCAAAGATTAAAACCATCGCATGGGTTTATATTTCGCTTCCTGCCACCAGTGATAGTAGAAGATGCCAGAAACTAGAGCTGGTGCAATATAATCCCACCCATCTACGTTTCCGCCGTTTGCTATAATATCTGCGGCAACTTGCCAGAGCGCCATATCTTTAACAGCTTGCCATTTCACCACTCCCTTGCCGAGAGCGGACAGTCCCCATACGGTAAAGCATCTCAAGGCCATTATGCTGCCTGTAGCCCCGTGGTACTCCTTGTCATACCTACCGCGGATCATTCCAAAGAAAAGACTGAGACTCGCCGTCCCGACGCAGGTCAATAAGTAGAAATACAGGAATGTGATTGGCCCCAGTACTTGGTAAATCATTGGGCCGTATTCGTAAAGCCCGTACAGATTCACCCCGAGCTGCAAGAAGGAATCATGGCTCCACGCGCTGGTCAACAAGACGTGGTATCGTCTTGCTCCCTCCCTTAGATTCGCATACTTTGCGACGAAATGTCGCTGCATTATGTCTCTGGGAGCTACTTTCCAGGCAACATAGATACCGAGGTAAAGAAGCACTAACAGATCCAATAGTCCAAGCTGCGTTGACACGTCGATGACACCAAGCACTTCTCCAACTGATACAACTCTTGATGGAAGGTAGTGAATCGGTATTCCAAAAATACAATGGTCGGTGTATTGTCGGGCTACCGGAACGAAATAGCCAACATAGTCCCAAAGTGTCACATATTTTGGCATTGTGTGCTCACAAGTTGGACCGGAAAAGCTCGGCAGACAGAAACACTTGTTGTTGCCGATACAGATGCCTATATCCGAGACATACTTTATTAAGGGCATGTCATATTATTTGTGAAGAGCTGTGAGGATTACCGTTAAGACATGGCTGGCAATGAGGTCCCTCAAGCTCCCAGCCCTGCCACGCTTTGCGTATCACCTTCCATGAGAGCGGTATAAAAGTTCCAAACAGTCCCACAAACTTTAGGGGAGCCTTTCCCAAGAAGTTGGGAACGGAAATGACTGTGAACAGGCCATAGTCGTCCAGTCGCAATATGTGAAATGCATCTGTCACACCAAGCACCGCCGTTGACGCCAACAAATGCCAGATACTCTGTTCGGCTGCATATTCTCGGACATTTCGCTTAAAGTCCTCTTCGTCGGGGCGTGTAGTATGAGCCAGGAGTAGCAGGACAAAGATGAAGATAATCCAACGATGCCCCATGTCGCCACACGCGGACTAGGTTTGCCGAACGCGTCCGGTTTTTGACCAGGGTCGCCACAAACAGGACGGATCAGCCTGTAGTCAAGATAAAGGTAGACATGCAATACGTTGCCAGTCTCGGACGGAAGAGGGATGGTCGTGAAATGGGAGATATTGGGCTTGGTTGGAATTAAGGTTACTTGGCACGGCAATGTTGATTTGAAGGAAACATTGAAAATCTTTCCTTTGATGAACACTCCAGACCCACAGCTCTATTTCAAAAGTGTATTTTACCACGGTTCACGAGGCCACCAATTCCTTGAATACTAGCGAAATCTGTTGCGTGCCTGCACCCGATGCGTAGGAGATGCCCACAGCGCATTGCACTCTGATCACCTTAGTAAGCAATTACCAACGGATGAGTCATCCGTCGGTGGTGGAACAGGGACGATGATTTCCAGATTCAATTTCCTTTTACCTCACATTAGGATGCTTACAAGAAGACAGGCGAAGATTCAAGCTGGTGCTCTACAGGATGGCCCTGCTGTCTTTAGGTATTGTTTTAGTTCGTCTGGTGAACTGTGCAGTACTGAGTCGGTGTTGTTTCGTCGCAATTTCATTTTGCAGGGTCACCAAGAGAAAGATCACAGAGAGAATAGATGAGACGTTGAAGAAGAAGCCCGTAAAAGTTGCTAGAGCACCGAAAAGCTTGCCGTCCATTCCGCCAGATGCACCGGACCTTGTCGCTGAGGCATCGGAAATAGAAACCGCCGCATCCGCGGTAGCCGCTCCGTCTGCTGCCTTGCCTCCGTCAGACGCACCGTTCGACTATTCGACGGCGTTATCTTACATTTGTGGGCAAGATCCGAGATTAGAGCAAGTGGTGAAGCGAGCTGGAAAGCCTTGTAAGATTTTCGAGAGCGAAGATTCGGCGGAGCAAGGTTTAGATGCTTTCAAGGCGCTTGCGACGGCAATTATCTACCAAGTCAGTATTTCTAGTCTTGTGTCATAAGGTTCTCTTAGATATACTAATGTGATTTACTGGATAGCAACTGAGTGGAAAGGCTGCATCTACCATTTTGCGCAGATTCCTGACCCTCTTCGACGAAAAACTGGACCCTGCTGCCGCGGAGCGACATCCTAAATGGTTTCCGACGCCGCGGGCGGTCCGAGATAAGGAGCGGCAGGAATTGACTTCAGCAGGGCTCTCTCAGCGTAAAGCCGAGTATGTCCATGCGTTAGCGGATCGGTTCTTGGATGGATCGATATCAACTGAGGCCTTGTTGCGGATGGAGGACGACGCTATTGCCGAATTGCTTTGTAGCGTGAAGGGAATTGGACCGGTATGATATGGTCTGATTATGGCTTGTCGCCTATTTGGTTTAATTGAACATTACTCTTGGCAATGCGGCTGATGAAATAGTGGACAGGTAGGAAAGGCATGGCGAAACGTGCTATACTACTGATTAATACGAACTTTTTTTATTATCAGTTGACATGTTCCTTATGTTTGACCTCAAACGACCCAATATACTACCTGTTGGGGATCTTGGCATACGTAAAGGCATGAGCAAACACTTTGGAATGAAAGGAAGTAATGGTAAGAAGGGCTCGAAACAAAAGGCAGGTGGCGGCATCTATCTCCCGACGGTCAGTATCACCTTTTGGATTCAGAGTTACTCTTCCTCCTTTTAAAGCTGACGATGTGGTTGATTTAGCCGGATGAAATGAGGGAGGCTGCGAAGATTTGGGAGCCATATCGCACAATAGGCAGCTACTATATGTGGACCATCACAGATACGAAGACAATGGAGGATGAATGACTTGAGAGTTTGCGGGCATTCATTACTAGGAATTATTGTACAATGTACAGGCACCATAATAGGCTTCTAGAGACATATTCTCAATTGTAGATTTCTCTCTATACGTAACAATCGTTTAGACCATAACTTCTCCAACTACATAATCTGCCAAGGAGTCGAGCGACAGATCGTTAGCCCACTCAAATAGCGGATCAAAATCGTCATCAAGTTCGGGCTCTAATTCACGGTGGAGCTGGCGTGTTCGATTCTGAGATTTTGGATTTTGTTTGCGTACTCTACCAACGGAAGGTCTTGATGAATTACTGATTCTGAAAGCATTCCTATGAGTGACAGATGCTACGCAACATCCGACAAAATGGATGATACCCTTTAGCAATCCCTGATGTTCCGTTTCGGGACGAAAATCGAGTGGACCGGCGGCTGCTCCTTGCATCGTATATTAGATTTTGAGTAGCCGTGAACGCTGGCATATCGTCATTGAGCATGGTAGTTGTTTAGCTGTTTTTCTCTGTTACACTCGAGTTGTCCTCATTCCACCTACGTGTGATGTTAAGTTCTCTCCATCCGTTATTTCTTCCGCCAAGGTACGCCGGTTTACAATCTAACGAGCTTAAATACTAGCAGAAATATAAGTCGTCGATAGTGCGTTTCGGGCAGCAGTAGTTTACAGGATCATCACACACCTGCACAAATTCCAGTCGGTTCGTCACCTCATCCGAATGCGAAATCTTTAACGCGCGGTTCTGGTACTCGTTCCGTATCATATTTTCCGAATAGAGTCGGACGCCCATAATTGCGCATGAATCGACTGCTGCCTACAAGATTGTGCTGTGAAATCTGCGTTCATTTGGCTTTCTAGCTTTTTAGGTTTACCTGCGTGTCGGCCTGAATCAGACGATGTCCACTGTAGTAATGTACACTATTGCTTTTCGTGTATATTTTATACATGATGGTCGGTGGGAACGAAGAACCTCCAAATCTATCAGCGAAGGGCAAAACAGCCACGTATCAATTTTCACATCTTTTAAAAACACTTGGGTGCAAAAGTGCGTACCTGAATCGAACTTTTCCCTGTACAACCGGATCTTTGATCAACTCTGCTTCTCTCGGGGATAATCTTCGTAATATTTCCATTGTCATGGACCGTTCCTATTAGTAGGGTGAGCCTCTGGATAAGCGCGTGATATATGCTGTCGCATCGTCCAGGTCATAGCCCACCGCTCTTATCAGGTTTTCCTTTAACCATCGGAACGTAGCCTTCATATGAAATCTTTTCCAGGCACGTTGTATTACATTTGCTGCAATTGTTTGTGCTTCGGTTCTAGATTGCAGATAGTATCGGTATCAAGGACAGTTCACGACAGAGTACACCGGGCCACTTAACGTACGCTGCCGATGGGGAAGCAATAACTTGGTGTGTCTCTTGAGCATAAGTAATCGGAGGCGGAAGGCCGATGAGATCATGGTATGGGTCGGATGATGGCTCCATTGTCAAAGCAGGCGGTGGTGGGTTTTAGAGTCGAGCATGATGAACTGTTGTCTTTCATCTAGCGAGCGGAGGGGCAAAGCCACATTACGTAAGGCCAGAAGCCAGCACTTGCAATCGAAACGATTGCTCATATGCACTTTGATCTCTGGCTTCTGCCATGGCATTTGCAGGGTCACCGTTTGAAGCTGAAATCGTTAATGATCGGTAATATGATGTCTTTTCCATGTTCGTGCCAGTTGTCACGAAAGCTTTACGCCTATGTGCTCCCCCAGAATCGAAGGAAAGGGCAGATACATTTTCCCAGATGGGAATATCTATGTAGGAGATTTCAAGGATGGTCAGTACGTATCTATCACATACATGTCAACAGAGAATCATCTCTAACCTTGACTCAACCACTTCCCATGTTCACTGCAATAGGTTTCACGGGTCAGGCACAGTTCATTTCAAAGATGGCGGGAAATACGAAGCTCAATGGAAGAACGGTGTGGCATTGAGCGTAAATACAACGATTCTTTTTGTTATTCCCACTATCTTTCGTCACCTTCATCTAACTTTTATCGAACATTAGGGGACCTATACCTTTAAGGACGGACTAGAATACGCTCCAGAAGATTGGTCTTACTGTACTGAAGCCGATCGCCGCTTTTATTCGGAGCGCATCAACGGATTCCGACCTGGCACCCCGCAGCTCACAAATGACCCATCAGGCCCGCATTCCATCCCGCTGAATACCTTTGACGTTGGAGAAGGCTATTTTGATCCAAAGGATGGTGTCATTTATGATTACGAGGGAGTGCCGCTCCGCGTCGCAGACGAGGAGGAAAAGGAGTGGATTACTAGGTAGGTTGGCAAGGGTATAACGCGGATATCTCAAAGGTAGGCTTGCTTAGCGTCTTTCATTGATCCCATCTATCATGTTTTGGTAGGCATTGTCGGGTAGGCGGCAGAACCAAGATCCACACTGGTATTTGGATGGATGCAATTTAAAAAAGCTGAAAAAGTCAGGAGAAAAAGTATAATAGTCGACAGAGAAAAAAGTTTTGAACATGCCCACAAGTGATAATTAGTTTAGGCCACATGAACACCGAAACGCATAAGAAAGAAATGACAGTTGACGGATATATCTATGATTGCCCAACTCCACTCTTTCAAAGAAGGCTTTCACACTATGCTTACAATGCAAAATAAAAACGATATGACTGGCAACCTTCCGTTCCACAGCATAGTGACAGTTCAGCAATTAGACCACTTCTAAACACGCAAGAAAAGGTCCCTGCAACACGAGAAAATCTGTCAAATTCGGCGAAAAGGCTGATTACCCCTCACATAGGTCCATGTGAATATACTCTTACTCAATAGTCAAACCTTGTATATCAATATAAAAAAGGTTACATGTCCCCGCTTTTTAAGCCAAAAGAAGCATTTGGAGCGCTTACCGATTCTCTCGTTTATACCGCATTGCTGAATATTCATCTTTGAGCGAAGCGTAGGTTTGGACTGGGCTAAGACTACGATCGCGATCGGCATTTGCACGACCGTGCGTCCCAATAGGCCCAACGTTTGGAGGTATGTCAGTCTCCGAAACATGATATGCAGGGGGGACATGAGCATCCGCAACTTCGAACCTGTGGCGTCTGTAAAGTGCTTAAGACGGTTTGCGCGTGGACGTATACTGTCAACAAGTCCCAGGTACCTCTCTTGCACATATTCAGGATAATCATAGAGTCTTCGAAATTGGTCACCGCTCTGTTCGATTTTAATCTGGGTATCACGAGCAGGTGAAGGTGTCGTGGTGGAGGAGGTACGTGATGGTTCCACTTCTCTTGACCACATCAGGAGAGGATCGTACTTGATTTGTGGTGGAGGGCCCCAACCTTGCACCTAAATTGTTGTGTCAGCGTAATTCCGGGATACAGGGTTCTGTGGATCAGACAATGCTCACTCACCGACGTCTCTCGAGGCTTGGGTGTAGTTTGGTCCCATCGAAGCTTATACTCCTCAAATCCCCGCACATCAGGATCCGGAGGGAAATCCAGGAGTGGCGCGTTATAGTTGCTTGGTCGTCCCCTATCTCGCTCCCGCTCTCTCTCCCAAAGCTGGTCCCGGCCAACCTCCAGTTCGTACCTTGGGCCATAACCGCTGCGCATGGAGGGACGGGACCCGCTGTAGGGTGCCATAGTTGGTTGGGTCTCGTATACCGGATGTCCAAACCGCTCTGGTCCACCGGCAAAGCCCATGCTCATTCCTGGATAGCCGGAGGCAAAGAAGGTCTGCCCTCCTGTACCGTAGAACGGCATCTGAGGCGGACCTAATTGCGGCGGTCCCATAGGCACAGGAGGACCACCCCATCCCGCCGTAGGCCGGTAATCACGTTCATCGAACGATGTTGGAACGTTAGGGTATGGGCGACCGTACGGGTCTCCAAACATTGACCCCCGACGATTCCTATCGTCAAAAAACCGGCTCTGCGTAGGCTAGATCAGTAAATCTGATACTATAGTAGATCTCCTCGTTCCATTAAAATGAGAGACCAGTTTGCAGAAATCAGAAAATGCTTTAGAGCTTTAGTGCTGCTCAGGAGGGAACACCATGTCACGCGGAAACTGCGACGACCGAGAGCCTGCTGAACCAACGTCAGGACTTACCATATTCAATCCCCCGTTGACCTTGTCAATAAACTACAAAGTAACCAAACTAGTCTAACAATAAGAAAAGTGTATGGATGCGGACATCAGAACTCAGCTTCTCTCAACCAACCTCTTCCCAATTCTGATAGCTGGATATAAACTGACTTGATATGGATCTTCTCTCCACTACGAAGTGTCCGACTGGCAAGCGTGCCAAGGAAGAAAAAACAGTTGCCGCACGTACGGGATTTGATTAAAGATTGCTTGTTGGTGGAAAAAAGTGTCCAGAATCTCAAACCCGCCCTTACGAAGCTTCGTTCACGTGACCAAGAAGTTGGACAATTTGAAGACACGTCACGAATGGATTGCTGTCGTGTCTACTCGGCGTGATTGGCAAAAGGATCTGCTCATATACAGGCGAGAAAATAGGTATGGAAAACACTTGTATTATACTAGACAACCCTGCAGGCAATGCACTAACACTCGTAGCGTGTGGTGCACTGCTTATAGTAGAGAATTTCATTCGTGACTCGCGTACAAAAGGCTAAACGATGAGTCGCGGCACAAACTGTATGTTCAGCTCATTCCGTTTGTCGCTGTTTTGATGTGCTCAGCTGAGAGTCTGTGTCCGTTCAATTAGCTGCATACGACCGGCATATCACCGTTTTCTCTCCAGAGGGCCGTCTTTATCAAGTTGGTAGGTTTTGAAGTCTTACTACATGGTTGGACCGACACGAAAACGACCTTGATACGAATTCTTCATTCTTTGTCAGAATATGCGTTCAAGGCCATATCCAATGCCGGAATCACATCTGTTGGCGTAAGGGGGAAGGATTGCGCTGTGGTTGTGACCCAGAAGAAAGTTCCAGTACGTACTGCTGTGAACTCCGTTATGCGCTCGCGCGTCCTGACGCTGAAACATCGTGAACTTTCAGGACAAGCTTCTCGACCCTTCTACCGTAACCCATGTTTTCCAGTTGACCCCGAGAATTGGATGTGTAATGACCGGATTGATAGGTGAGATGACATCCCTTAAAGACCGGATCATAGACCATTAAGCGATTATCTTGTTTTCAGCCGACGCCCGCAATCAAGTGAGTCGCGCGCGTATGGAAGCAGCAGAGTGGCGGTATAAGTTTGGTTATGAAATTCCGGCGGATATGCTTGCCAAACGTGTAGCAAACATCAATCAAGTGTACACGCAACATGCGGCGATGAGACCGTTGGGCGTTTGTGAGTATTATACACGGATTTGAAAACTTGCCATACTGCTTGACGTACTCAATCACTCTAAAATACTGTTATCAGCGATGATCCTAATTGGTTATGACGAAGAAAGAGGTCCTCAAGTGTTCAAATGTGATCCAGCAGGGTAAATATATTGGTTTTATTCTTAACAATGCGGCAAGCCTAATCCGTATTTTATCTCGCGCAGATACTTTGTCGGTTATCAAGCCACATCTGCGGGAGCAAAGCATCAAGAGGCTCTCAACCATCTGGAGAAGAAGTTGAAGAAGAACCCTCAGCTGAATGTTGAAGACACAGTTGAAGTAGGGACTATTTGCTAACACGAAAGTTGGGCCGTTTCTCATTGCATACTCTCTTTTCTCCAGCTCGCGATCACCACTCTATCAACAATCCTATCTCAAGATCTGAAGTCTGCAGATATTGAGATCGGAATAGTGAGCGAAAAGACTCCCCAATTCCGGACTCTCTCAGAAAATGAAATTGATGAACACTTGACTCGTATTGTGGAGAAGGCAGATTAGGCTGAAATATATTAGTGCTTCTACAGATCTTTTGGCGCTGTTCGTTGTCACTGCTGTCCACTTGATAGAGAACTAAGGCTACATCCTAAGGCCGACCATGCCGTTGCGCGGGCAGAGATACACGATGACTATGCTATCACGAATAGGAGCCGCACAAGAGATTTGACATACAGTATCTTCAACAGGTGTATGACGACTCTCCAAAGAGAATCAATGAGCGGTTTGTGTATACTCTCCCAATGGTGATGTGAGAAATTGGCAAGCTACATTTTCGAGCAGTATCGATTACCGATCGGGTTCAAGCTGTTGTTCTCTTCGAATGTGGAGATTCACAACAGTCATTGATGAGTTGACCTGTTGTATTGAGAGAATGAAAGGATCCACAGGATGGAAGATGCAGGTTACATAGCGCCTTTGCAGGACGTGTTGGCTGGGTCAGAACTGGAAGAGAGCGAAGAATGTTTCAAGATACGTACTTCACACCGCGGACTTGTGCATACACCTGGCGGGAGTTCAAAGGTAGATTCGGGTCAATAGCAAACTTGAACTGTCCTGTTTGCCGGTCAAAGAACTTAATGGGATGCTCGCCGGACGGTCGTGCTCTACAGGGATGCCAACCCTTCAGAACTGGGTTCATAGCCAGAGTATGCGGTGAATAGGGCGAAGATCATACCTGTCCACATTGTTGATAGCCTTATCATCGTAACTGAAGAGCTCGTGATCGAGATAGGGGGAGTCAACAAACTGCTGATCATTGAAGGGAAGGCCGGAAAGGACGCGCTTCACTGCTTGCACTGGTCTGAATTGGATAAAAAGCATGATTGGCATGAAGTCTTGCTGGTTGAGGGGACAAAGTCAATTACCCGCCGTTTCTAGCCTTTTGCACGGCCCTGATTCGGCGGCTATGCTCCTCTCGTGCAAATAGACTATTGCTTGGGTTGCTGATCGAAAGGCCTGACTGGTTGTACGGTGTGCCGGAGCAGACTTGCCAATCCTCGTACAACTTTAGCAGTTCCTCCGACGTGTTTTCATAAACACCTAACACTTTCGTAGTCGCAAGGGAATAAATAACAAAGAATGACGTTTGGCTAGATGTTGCTGAGTCAATGTTCTACAAAGGCCGTGTCTAGTAGTGATCACCTTGCAACCTACGGGTATGCGATCGCGTACCTTTCCTACAATGGCGTCTGCCAAGCCAAACTTTATCACAATATGTAAGTTGTCCAAAAAATGCATGCGCCATAACGCCAACGAGGCAAAATGCGCAAAAGTTTGGTAGAAGTGACTAAGATGACTGATGCGTGTGATAAGTTAGTTGATCAAAGGTGAGAGAGAATTGCGTGGAAATGTTAATCTCACCTGGTCCTATCAGACGAATATGCTTTTCGAAACAAGTAGGCCATTAATCGTTGCTTCACGCCGCTCAAGGGGGTACATTCCTAGCATTCATTGGATGTAAATCAAAAAGTTGACTTGGAAGCATCGGGCTGTTCACTAACGTAAGGAATAGCAGTACTCGACGGGGCAGCAAAAGAACGTAATGATGTTGCTCGTCCATTACGAGAACGATCAACGGGACCGTCTGGCACCATGGCATTTGTGGAATCTGGCGGTTCCGACCGGCGAACGGGCAGTGGCGGAGGTGTGGAGTCCGATGACGGCGACCCTAGTGAAGAGCCTTCCCACCCTTCCCAAGCGCTCTCCCGGTCCCAGTCACTGTCCTCGTCCTCTTCTCCAGTATTATCCATATAATCCCAAATAAATTCTGGTCCCCCTGTCACCTTTTTGTTACTGTACATTTGCTCCGCTAATCGGTACCGGGCCAATACCAATTCATCGTCCTCGTTATTTAGATAGCCGATAGTTCGAACGTCCAGAAGAATACCAGAGTCCTGCATGACAAAGTTTCAGAATATCAGAAAATGCGTTTTTTAGAGGACCAGCCGAACCTTGATGTGCAAGATATATATAGACTGATTTTGAACCGATGCAATACCCAACATGTTATCATACAAGTGTACTCCTGCATGATTGCTCAAAAATATGTAGTCATGCATGAACACGCGCTTGTCCGTAACCTATTAGTGCCGCCGTTAGGGAAATGGGGCGAACAAGATCCCATTTTTTCATGAGCCACCTGTCCTCTTTCAATGTCTAGAACCCAAAACGTTATGTCATCCAATAAGAATATATTCTTAAGCGACGCAGGATTATGTAGGGGTCTCGGAAATCCTGATGGGACGGCAGATACAACAATCATCTACAGAAGACCTTGTAAGGGCACCGCAGCACTTTGGCTGCCTACGACAACAGATCAGAACGACGTACATAGCGGTGATCAGCCGTAAAGAGAAGGAAGTCTTTGCAGAGCAGTTCGTGTCCGCCCGTAAGAACAGTCTCGTAACGCAGGTCAAACACATCATTGAAACCCAAGGTTGCGCCAACACCTTTTCTTGGAAGCTGGCCTTTGTAATTATAAACCTGGACTGCATGCATATTCTTTGCGAAGCAGACCAAGTACTACAAGAGGCCAATATTGTAAGAGAAATGCGGACAAATATGTACTCTATCCTGGCAAATTCCCACCCCCAACAGAATGTGTTCCATGACACTGTCCTGCGCTTTCTGTTATATTATTCAATCCAGATAAATACCTTGCCATCCGGCGTAAATTTCTTTACTGTAAAGTCGAAAACTGGCACATTGTACACAGTTTCATTTGGGTATATATAAGAATATGTTTGCTTGTAGCGACCAGAGGGTGAAGAGTGCAGCTCCCGACTGCGGAGGAAATGCAAGATGTTCCGCTGCCTACATCGAAAAGAACGACGTCCCAAAGGTGGCATCCTGCATCTCAGAACCACCGAGAAACAGCTCGCTCTGGGGAGAAGGGCGATGGAAGGCAAGCAGATGCGGATGGGGAAAGCTGCCTTTGCCGGAGCTGGCAATACAGTCATCGCCAGTGCTGTGCCACACGGTGCTTAGTAGAGCGTTTGCAGTTTGGCGATTTGCCGGTTGTGACAAGCGTCTTTTCGCTAATCTGTTGATCAGTTCCCCAGTGCAGCTCACGAGCAGAGCAGGACGGTTCGGAACAGTAAACAGTCATGTCTCTCTCCAGGTAGGAATGGAAAAAGATAACATTATGCATCTCCGTTGTCTGATCCAATCTTTCGACAGTGTTCTCCCCAAGCCGAGAGCATCGACGCTTCCAAAGTCGAAATGGGCCAGCGATGACGAAGATGACGAAGCGTCAGCACCCACAGTTGCAGTTGTACACAAAGGCCCTCCTCCATACGGGCACCGGCAAGGTTTTGTCCCGAGAACTTTGGAGGTACTTGATGTAGATCTGCCGACTAGTATTCATATCCATGACCAGAAAGTTGTGATTGATTTTTATCGCAGGACTTTGGAGATGGCGGCGCTTTCCCAGAAAT